ATATCCCGCTGTAATTTATTTGTTTATTTCCGTTAATTTAATTGGTTAAAAAGGAATTAAAAACAAAAAGAGTTAGTGATTTCTAAGATCGTGGCTTGCCTAGCTTCTACGAGTAGGCGCCATCACGACTCCCGAGGGTGGGAAATCCGGATAGTGACAAGTAAGTGCAGTTTTTGTCCGTGAGGACGAAATTATGCAATCTCCCATATATTACGTTAGCAGAATTTTAACGGGAGCAGAAACTCGTTACCCACATTTGGAGAAACTGGCCTTAGATCTCGTAGTCGCCGCTCGAAAGCTGAGGCCTTACTTCCAATGTCACGCGATAGCTGTGGTGACCACCTTCCCCCTGCGGAACATCCTTCACAAACCCGAACTCTCAGGTAGATTGGCCAAATGGGCCGTCAAAGTGAGTGCATTTGATATAGAATATAAACCAAGAACTACGATTAAGTCACAAGTTTGGCCTACTTTGTGGTCGATTTCAGTCTGGGACTGCCGCCTCTAGCAACCAAAGAAGCAGTGATGGTGTCGGAATCGACATCGGGAGTTTGTTCCTTATTTATGACGGAGCTTCCAACGTAAAGGGGTCTGGGCTTGGCATAGTATTAACCACGCCGTCGAGAGAAACCTAAAGGCAGGCCATCAGAACAGTCCCTTTAACTAACAATGAAGCAAATTATGAAGCTTTAATTGCAGGACTCGAACTGGCCCGGGGACTAGATTCCGAGGTCATAGAAATCGGATGTGATTCCCAGCTGGTGGTAAACTTATGCTATAATCAATCCAAAGCTCTATATATTTTTACATTCTTATTCCTTGATTTCATCGTTGTTGTGTCTGGAAGCCTCGCTCCCGGAATCAATGTTTCTGCTATTCTATCTTTATTTCAAGGCTAAGTATCACATATTTCTTCAATTATTTTATTGTTTCAGGATCGAATTAATCACTTGTCTAAAAACCACGTATAAATTCAACTGTACCGTTTTACAGGTAAACATTTATGAGTAATATTAGCTTATTATATATATTCACATATTATAAAAAATGTTTTTACTAAAGTAACGAATGATGTCGGTGACGATAGGCTTAGTTTATAAATAGAAGACAATCCTCCACTTATATATTTGATCTATTACATACACACTAATATATACGTTATGTTTAATTTAAATTTTGCGTTTTACTTTTGAACCAAAATGAAAGTTTGTTTATTATAATAAAAGTTAGTTTTATCATTTTAGTGTTTATAATTCACGCATTACTAATTATATCAGCTGTATTTCAATTTTATTTTTGATATAAAATAATATATAGGAAAATGGTCAAATTTGTTTTTTATACTATTTGAAATTGAGCAACTTTGCTTTCTATTAGACTTTTAGCCTAATATTCCCTTACTAGCCTACCTTTAGGAAAAGGGAAACTTACACAAATGTCCTAAATAAATCTCAACTTACCAACTTCTAGCCATTAGTCATAGACTTACTAAAACTAGCCAACAAAAATTAAAAAACCAAATAATAGGGTTCTTTCTCTTAAGGAATCACATGCAAAAATCACCTTTCATATTTGAAAGCGTGATTAGCAACACTAGATGCAAGACGAAAAGAAAATTTCATGGATGAGGTAGCAAATAAGGTGATGAAATACAAAAATATATACAATATTTCAAGAATCTAAATAAAAAAGAAACTTTTTCAATGGGTATAGGTGAAATTCATTGAAAATATATAGATAAGTCAATATACAAATTTTGAGGAAGATTGGAGGTGATTTGGACTGGTTTTGTATCAAAATTCGTAATTAAATCGAATTCAAAAAAGTCTTCTGCGACACATGTATCAAACATGTATAACGCATGTATCTCACACACAGATATACATGGATATACATGTGATATACGATTGATACAAATATGATACATATGTGATACACAAATGATACACAGTGTGATACACATATCATTTTTTTCATGTTCAGTTTTTGCTTCGAATTTTCAATTCAAACCACCTCAAAACTTCACCAAATCATCCCAAAACTGAGATTCAAGCTCCTTAAGTTGTGCGCAATCTATTCTAATAGCACCCACTCAAAACAAAGCAAAAATTTGATATTCTTTTTTTGCTACAAATAGCTAATTGGCTAATTTGGCTAATATTAGTAATATTCTATCAATTGGCCAATTTTTGTAATGAGCTACTTATAAATGGACATAGCTGGTAATTTTTCTTAGGAAAAAGGTTTTGATTTTGCTTGACTTTGAACTTGAGGGTAATTTTAAAATCATAGTAGTTAAAAGTTGATATGTAAATTTTGATTTTTTTCTCTCTAAAAATTTAGACAATGACCTCGCGTTGGAGCCCAATTAATGGCAGAGCAAATATTAGATTATTTTCTAATAACAAGGGTATGAAACTATGAATATAAGACTATTAGGAACTCGGAAGCCCAGGCGAGTTGTTGTTCTTTTCCTAAAAGCTTCTGGGATTCTTTGTGGAACTTAGAAATTAAAAATAAACTTAAACATTTTCTAAGGAAGTGTGTGATTAACTCTTTGCCCGTTAATTATACCTTAGCTAAAAGATTACAGAACCTGGATAAAACGTGTAAGATTTGTGGTCTTTAAAGTGAAGATATAGAACATATGCTATTTAGATGTCCCCGATCTCAGCTTGTATGGAAACAAAGTCCTATTAATTGGCCTGATATTGAAAACATAACTGACTTTTCTGTGTGGTGGTACAACTTGTTCTTAAATGCTAAGCACTTTCCTGAATCTACTGAATTATTATATTTGAGTGTTAATCTTATGTGGCAAATTTGGAAAGGTGGGAATGCTTGGTGCTTTAATCAGGAAATGTTATAGCCAACTGACATTGTTTCTAAAGCTCTTTTTGAGTATGAGGAATATAAAGATCTATTAACTAGTTGCCCCGCTGCACGACATTCAACTGGAAATGAGTTTTTGCCTAAACTAACAACTTTTCAAGATGATGTTTTATTATTTACAGACGCATGATTACGGTGTGATGATAGACAGGCGATATTAGTGTCGCGGCTTTGAATAGCCTTGGAAAACTGCTTCATGCTCATGGATCCTCAATTCAATATGTTGGGAAAATCATGACTGCCGAAGCGATTGCCATAAGAAAGGCACTTGAATGTGCTATTACTTTTGGATGAAAAAGTGTGAAGATATTATCAGATGCTAAGAATGTCGTTGATATGATCCAAAAATAGGTGGCTACATTATGGGAGATAGAAGTGTTGTGTGAAGACATTTGGAAGCTATCAAGCATTTTAGATCACGTCGAGTTTCTTTATATTCCAAGGAAGTTAAACAAAGTAGCTCATAGTTTAGCTAAATTTTCTATTTCTTTGTTGAAGGACATCTCCTGAGAGAAGTTTTTCCCAACTTGGGTTGTCCAGGATGCAAACAGTACATTTGAACTTTGTTGTTCGTTGATGTAGTAATATAAAGTTTTTGTTTTGGGGGAAAAAAAAAACAAAAGTCTAATGGACAAAAAAAAAAAAAGGAGCAATTTCAATAGTACATACGAAAATTTGGACATTTTAGCTAATATGTTTGTATAACTTATGCATGTGCTCTCTCTTTTTCATTTTTAATATGTTCCAAACAAATTAACACTTTTGTACTTTTGAAAGTTATATATTTTATTTAAAGATTAAATTTTCTTGCTACACCAACTAAACGACTGTGTATACTTTACTATTTCACAAAAAGTTCTATTGTTCAAAAACTAATAGTACATCATATAAAGAGTAAATACACTAAAACCCGTTTAAACTATTATCTTTTTGCCAGTTTCCTACCTAAATTATCGCTTGTCCCCCAAATATCCCTTAACTATATCCTCCTTCATATTAAAACCCCCGTCGCATTGTTAATGGTGTATGTGATATACTCTCGTAAATTTGTAAGAAATATACCATGTGGCACTCCACATGGATATTAATTAGCCCAATCAATAAATAACTTAATTACGTATTTTAAAAATTAATTTGAATTTGTTAAATGGGTAAATATTATTCACACGATTAAAATAGATAAAAGGTCTAGCGGCAAAAAAAACATTCAGTAAAATCTCCTTCTCTCTCCTATCTTCCGATAATAGCTTTTCTTCCCCTCACTAGCGATTTTCTCCATTAAACTTCGTTGTGACCTGAATTTTTCCTAATAACCCTCAATTTGGGTTATTGGGTTATTTCTGTTAAGACAATAATTGTTCTTTCTGTATAGTATTCAATTTGGGTTGTTTAGTATAAAATCGGGCCACTGTTGTTTGCCATCCGATCTCTCTTATCGTTGGTATTCCCTGTCAGTTCCAAGTCTTCCATAACCTATCGAAACAAATTACAGTTACCAACTTCATCCACTCACTTCCATAAGGACAAAAGAAAGAGCCGCACGAAGGAAATAGGCGAGTGTACTTTTTAAATATAGAATAGGATTTTCATGTGGGTTATCTCCCTTGCATCATGAAAACTCCATTGTTCTCATATATCTTATTCTTCTGCAAATATTTTTCAGAAGCTTAAATAGAAATTCAAATAACAAGAGAGGGAGAATTTCAGATGGAACCACACGGGGAAATGGAGGAAAAAGGTGAAAAAATGGAGAAGCAAGGTGAAAGAACGAAGAAGAAAGGTGAAAAATGAGGAAGAAACGTGAAATATAAAAAAAAATGAGAACAAACTAAAAAATACAAATTTTTTATAAAAAAAATAAGGGCTCATGTGAGCCATTTTGATGGGTTTTTCTAGCCTTCACGCGCTTTTTTACGACTTATTACACACAAAATGCTTTATAAATAGCGAACGAGTTTTAATACGAAAGAGAATATAGTTCGGGAGGTTTTTGGGGATAAGCGATAGTTTAGGTAGAAACTGATAAAAAGGTGATTAGTTTAAGCTCATTTTAGGATATTTACTCTCATATAAATGATATTACTAGCAATTAAGAGTGTCATATTTTGATAGAATAATAATAATATGTGTACAAAATGAGCTTCTTTTGACCTTCCTCCTCCCCAGTCTAAGCCAAAATCCGTCAACGAACCCACCCGGCCCGATCACCGAACCGGAACTGACAAACGCAAATGGCATTGCTCGGCGACGACGGGCGGGGTTACGAGCTAGCTCGGAAGCTAGAGAGCCACGGCGTATGGCGTTCATGGCTCGGCGATTCACTTTATACAAACTTTATTCACTTCCTTTCTTCTCCTTCTACTTGGGATTCCTTCATGCGAACCGACGATTCCAAATCTAGGGTTCAGATACAACTCCAGCTTCGTGCTCGTGCTCTCCTCTTCGATAAAGCTTCTATCGCTCTCTTCCTCCGATCCGATAAATCGCCGCCGTCAATTCACACTTCTGCTGCAATTTCGAAGCTCAATCCAAACTGTACGCGCTCTTACGCGCTTTTGAACTGTAACGCGTGTTTGGTTTTTAGTTCTTTTGAGTTTGTTAAGTTCATTGTTTTGCTTGCAGACTTGCAATTGCATGGTGATGATGTGTATTTTACTCTCGAGAATTGTTCGCAAGATGTTGCTAGTACAAGCACTGTATTATCTAAGGTATGATATAGCTTAAATGTTTTTGCTTTCATGTGAAAATCACTAGTTCTAGTAGGTAGTGTTCAAATTTGGTTTAGGAGTTCAAGTTACTGTAAAATTATTTACACAGTCAGGTCACATTAGATAATTGCAGATCATCTCTTGATAAACATTAATTGAGGATTTTAACAAACCTACTACGAAGGGTAGTGCGGTGCACTTAGCTCCCACTATACGCGGGGTGGGGAAGGGCTTAACTGCATTGGGTCTTATATATGCAACCTTATGTGACATTCCTATAAGAGGCTATTTCCACAGTTGAAACCATGATTTCCTGGTCATATGACAACAACTTGTAACTAACTTGCTATCACACATTGAAATTCGACGTAGAAAAATCTTTACACGGTTAGTGTATATAACTTAAATCCCTTAGGTTATTGGATGCTTAAGGAAGTGTCTGAAGCAAGCTGCAGTCTAACGTTATGCTGTGAAATCTGTGTCTTTGACATATATAATGCATAGAATCCATACGTTATCGTTACCTCGTGTTTTGTTTCGCAATAGGTGGAGATGATATCCAGCTATATGTCACGGGTTCGAGCCGTGGAAGTAGCCACTAATCCTTGTATTAAGGAAGGCTGTCTACATCACACCCCTTGGGGTGCGGCCCTCCTCGGGACCCTGCATGAATGCGGGATGTTTTGTGCACCGGGCTGCCCTTCTACCTGCACAAGGTAGGGGTAAGGTCTTTGTACACACTACTCTGCTCAGACCCCACTTATGGGATTATGCTGAGTTTGTTGTTGTTGTTGTTGTTGTTGTTTTTGTGGAGATGATGTCCCTTTTGCTAGCACATCTATTCCTTTGTAGTATCTGAAATTAAGAGAGAGAATTTCCATTTTTCATTAAGTAATGAGTATATTTTTTTGACTACCGTTTGGTCTCAACCTAGTTGAGATCAGCTATATGAATCCTCTTTTAGAAAATTTCAATTGATCCTTGGGGTAAGAAACTGCTGTAGGGAAAGGATTACTGATGTGGAGTTGATGGCTTACTCTTAGTAGGAATGGAGACTTGGATAAAGATTTTCAGTTTGACAAATTAATACTCCCTCCGCTTCAATTTATGTGAACCCATTTGACTGGACACGGAGTTTAAGAAAACAGAGAAGACTTTAGTACTTGTGGTGTAAAATGAGGCACATATATTTTGTGTGGCTACAAATCATTGCATAAAGGTAAATTGTTTCCAAATATGGAAAGTGGTCATTCTTTTTGGCACGGGCTAAAAAAGAAATAGGTTTACATAAATTGAAACAGAGGGAGTAGTTATTTTGACTTAATGAAGGAAGGGAAAGGAGAAAAGGCCTGAAATTATTGTTGTCACCTAAATGGAAGTATCACCTCTCTCTTAAGTTTAACAACTCATTAGAAGACTGGGTATGGCTCTTGCTCTAAACTAGGGGTGTCAATGAATCTTTAAAAACCGACTAAACTGACCGAACCGAACCGATTATTAGGTTTATTTTTACAAAACCATAGGTTTTTTTATAAATTTATAACTGTACCGAATAATAGGGTAGGTTTTTAATTTTATAAAAATAAATCGAAAAAGTACCGAACCTTACCGAATAAATTATATATAAAAAATATATTTTATATACTAAATTTACAACTAACAAAGCATTAAGTTTTTTCCTTGGGCCGTGAGATTATGGAAATAGATACAAGTAACCAAGTAACTAATACCTAAAGTTCCAACTTCCAAACTTATTCTACTACTCATAATGAAACTAAATTAGTTCCAACATCTTGAGTAGCAAGCCACTAGGTGTTCCAGCGATCTTCAGTAGCAAGACACAATGTATTGGATATCTTTCCTCTCGTATGATTTAGATTTCTCTTCTTGAATATTAATCTTCAAATAAACTCTGTTCTTGAGTCCCAACTTGATTACTATCTTTCCACTCGTATGATTTATATTTCTCTTGTCTTTGCTTAATTTATTTTATGTTACCGTAGATTAGTGGAATGAATCTCTATTTGGACATCTTTCATGTTCCTTTGATTCATCACTTTTAAAAGAGTAAAAATGTCTAGAGTCCTATGCAGGTATGCATTTATATAATTCCAATTTCGACTAGCGACTCTTGCATGGTGTTTTTAAAAAAATACCAAAATTAACCGAATTGTACTGATATTGTAGAGAAACCGAGATGATTGGGACGGTTCGATATCTAATTTTGGTTATACAAAATGGAATAACCGAGAAATTGGTATCGTACAACATTTAATAAAATAACCGGCCGAACCGAACCATTGACACTACGTACCGATATCGTAGAGAAACCGAGATGATTGAGACGGTTCGAAAAATCAAATTTTGGTTATACAAAATGGAATAACCGAAAAATTAGTATCGCAAAATTTTTATAGAATAATCGGCCGAACCGAACCATTGACACCCTACTCTAAACTCCATGATTTTGTTTGGTTGCTTTTTCTTATTTGTTCATGTTTTTAATAGCATGACTCACAGTCCTACATATTATCAGGTCCAATCAAAGTCAAATTTTGGTGTTGGATCCAGATATAGCGAGTCAGAAGCTGATGCAATGTCGCAGAGGTTGAAGCTTGATGATTTACCTGAAACATGGTATAACCAGTTCTTTGAAAAATACAAAGCAAGTAAATCATATAGGTTACAGTTTGGTGACAGGGAAGCAGAAAAGCGAACACCTGAACAGATGTCCTCTTATCTTAGAGTTGTTGAGAATCACAAGAGACGGCGAGTAGCTTTTAAGGTAGATCAGAACATTGGTTTTGGCATGTTGGATGATGGATCAAACCTGCAATCAAACTCAGTTTTAGATAACGACAGCCCATTTTTTCCTGAAACGATGTCTGCCATGAATTGCGTTCCTGAAAGTGCAGTCCTACGGACAAGTCAATTGAAAGAGAACCAGAAAGTAGAGTTCAACGGGGTTCTAGATACTTTACCCCAAATAATGACCAAGAGCCCTATTAGCCCTATTATGATTGAGAGGCTTGGTATTAGACCAGAGTACCTGAGCATGGAACAAGGCAGTAATCAAAATCATGGAAAGAGTGGTGGTGAAAGGAAGAGGAAATGTCTTGGTGAAGAGCAAGCATTAAAGTTATCTCAAAAGGTGATGGCACAATTGCTGGGAAATGTGGGTTTCGAAGGCTCATCTGAAGTTCCACTAGAAGTCTTGACTAAATTCCTGAGTTGCCATATTCACAAATTAGGTGCTACCTTGAAACTCCTTTCTGATAGCTACAGAAAGCAGTGTTCAGCGATGGAGCTTCTGAAGATGTTTCTTCATACAGCTGGACATAGGTTGGTGGTGCACATTTTCATATGATATTTTCAAATATATGCTTTGTTCCTATTCACTTTGTTATAATCTCCGTTTCCTATTTCTTCATTAAGTATGATGCATTGGGTATTCTTCATGCTACGCTGCAAGGTTTAAGCTCCTAAAATTGGCATTCAAGTATTAAGGCATGAAAATCAGGTCCTCGTTGATGCAACATATTTGCCAAAGAACATTATAATAACTAATGTTGCTTTGTGTTTACAAAGAACTTCCCTAGTGATTAACCAAGCACTTCACACTTTATTCTCTTAGCTTATGTATTTCTCATGAAATTGTTGCTTGCTGATGTATGTGAAATCCACAATGATAAAAATATCAGAGCAACATCTTTTCAGGGATCTTGATTTATCATTCTGGTTTTCTGTACAAAAGTTGAGCCGAGGGTCTTTCGGAAACAGCCACTGTATCCCTCGGGGGCACACTACCCTCCCCAGACCCCACTAGTGGGATTTCACTGGGTTGTTGTTGTTGTTGTTGTTGTTGTTTTCTGTACAAAAGTTGGTTTGCTCTTGGATTATTGAAACACTTGGAAGCCCCATCATGCCAACAAAGAAACAATTTCAGTATAGTCTTTAGTCTTTACCTACCTTAATTGGGAATTGCTGGTGTTAGAACTATTACTACAACTTTTTCTTGACGCCAAGGGCGGATTACCGGATTACATTTTATTGCTGAAGTGTCTGCATTTGATGTCTGTTGCAAATCAAATCATATACGACATAGAAGTATGATCTCAGTAATTGACTCTTTTTTCCTCTTTTGTGAAAATGTAAAACCTCATCCCTTTCCAAGAGACTTTTCTGTTTTTTGTCCGACGTTCGTTTTTCTGCCGTTTTCTTTTTGGTGCTTTATAGTGAATATGCTTCGGATGAAATTGGAGCTGATACTCCAATCACTTGTTATTGAACTTAGCTAAGACAGATGCAATTTTGTTGAGTTGTTTCATGGATTATTCTCCTTGTGCTCCTTGGTTCCAGGAAGTTCGCACTCTCTCTCTCTCCTCTCTCTCTCTATATATATATATATGTGTGTGTGTGTGTGTGTGTGTGTGTGTGTGTGTGGGGTCTTGCTAACCTGCTAGCTTGTGGGTCTTGCTAACCTACTACCTTGTGTGTGTGTGTGTGTGTGTGTGTATTATACATATATACACACACATTGATAATCTTGATATGCTCTCTCTATTGCCTCATAAAAGAATAATGGTATTTCTCTCTCGCTCCCCTTTCAGTATCTAAGTCATTTTCCTTGTATTGGCAGTAATCTTGCAGTGTTATCTGAACTTGTGAAGGATAATACTAGGAATTTTGTGCAAACTCAGCAGCAAGTACAGGGATTCCAACAACAGTTGCAACCTCAGCATCAAGCTGCTATTCGGCAGTCAACGCAGACACAGCAGGTACATCGATTTTTTGTCTGTGGTATTCATAAAGTCATATGATATTGTCATTCTTGCTATAATGCTGTTCATATCTGCAAATGGCTATAAGATTATGCTAACAAGTATAGAGTTGTTTGGTTTGCATGAATATTCTTTTATTGGTAAGCGAACAGTTTTCGCAGGAGATCAATCTAACTTTGCAGTGCTAGATGCATTTTTCTATTTTGTTTCTTATTTTTCTTGTAGATGTATAATTATCATACTGGACAAAATAAGTAGAAAGACCCCTTTTGAATTTTTAGGGGTCATTCAGTACGTGTGACTGGACTTGGTAGGATATCTCCTTCCTCTAGATTGGATTGTATGACGGGATTATATTTGAGATCATTACTCCTGTCATCTTTGGTTGCAGCATATTTAGTGATGTCTTGTCCCTAGTGCCCTCTAGTGTTTAATATGATGTCAGAATTTAAGTTCCAAAAATACTCTTGCAACAAACTCATTTATTTCACTTCACAATTAACAATTTTTTTCTCATAATTCATTTTCCGTCTCAGGATTCCAGTTCCAAATATCGAATAGGAAAGCATAATAAATAGAAAAACTTCCAATTATATTGACAAATTTTAGAAAAAAATTGCTTCACGACAAAATTAAGAAGTAAATAAATGATTATGAAATTGAAGAAAGAACTTTAGAAAATTTGCAGAAAATAGATTATCAACGGAATGCAGAAAATAAAGAATATATAGTGAAACAAGACACTACCGGAACATGATTTGGGAAAAAACTAGTTGCGAAATGCTGCTTAAAGTTTTGCGGGAAAACAAAGGAAATTGCAGAAGAGTCAGGGGTGCTGAAGCCATAGGGGGAATGGGTTATAGATTGTATTTGCTGTTGGACGAGGGGGGGGGGGGTATATGGTAAGGGAAAGGTTGAAGTGGTAGGGGGTTTGCAATGTCAGGAGAGGGAGAAGATTTTTGGGGGCTAATGGAATGGGAGGAGAGATGGAGAGCTGTAGTGAGAGAACAGGAAAAGGGGATTAAGGAAGTGAAGAAACGGGAAAGAGGTTTGCCTGGAATTTACATGTTAGGGGCATAAGGTAGTAGCTTAGATAAATCTATCTTGACACCTGCCATTGGTATATCTCATGGAATAGTCGAGGTCCGTGCAAGCTGGATTGGACACCACTGTCATTAAAAAAATGAAAAAAAGATTCTATCTGGAGACCTGTTGCAGAGGTGTACAAATTGCGGCATAAGGCTGGATGATTTATCTTGTTCTTTATTCTACATACCAAGTGTCCTTCATAGTTTGAATTTACCTAATGATATTCTGATTTTTTTGTTAGATCATCTATAAATACATCTTGGGTTATGTGCAGATATTAAGAATGCATCCTCAAATGCAGCAGATGCTCAATTCCCAAAATCTGACTCCTCAGCAACAGCAGCTGCTGGTGGAGAGAATGCGAAGGCGCCAGCAGTTAACGCCTCGTCCTGGTATGAGTATGAATATGAACATCGACAAGGACAGGCCAGTGGTCCAAGTCAAGCTTGAACATCCAACTGATTTTCCAATGGATAATAATGCCTTTAATGCAATGGCTGCGAGACAGCCCCAGATGCAGCAGTTTCGCCAGCAACAAATTGCAGCTATATCATCTCCCTATGCTCAAAACACAAATCAGTTTAGGCCGATGGCTTCTCTTCAAATTCCGCAAGTGCAGTCACCGTAAGTAATATTATATGCAATAGAACTGTAGGCGTTAAAATGCATCACATGCAGTATTATCATACTTGATTTTCTACAGGAACACGGGAATGCCCAGGGCTCCCCCTGTAAAAGTTGAAGGCTTCCAGGAATTGATGGGTGGAGATGCAACAATGAAGCATGATTCTGAAGAAAATAAGTTAATGTCTCCTCAAAAATAGCATTGTGCCGATGGTTAGTAAGTATGGAGTAGCAGTAGATGGGTTCTTAAATGAGCTGTTTGCTTGTCACTTTTCTGAACTCCTTGTTTTGTTACATTGTTTAGCTAAATCATTTATGTGCATGTGACTGCAATAACAAAATTTAGGCGCATTAGACTTTTGTCATCAGGATGGCTGCTGTGATCAGGTGTACTCCATATTACTTTGTCATTCGGCTTTGTTCCTCCGGAAATGTGCATATGTAGTATTTGTATATTTTTATTGTGTCGACTCATGAAGCCTTGTAATACTCTTCAGCAAGCATATTATAATACGTGCTCATGCGCAGAGAGTTTTTCCTGCCACTATTTTAAAGAATTCTATATTTCAAACTACCAAAATTTAAGCAGATGGATCATCATATTGGCTAGGCATTTGCCAATATATTCCAATAAACATCGAAAATAAGTAGGGGAAGAAACTTATTTTGATTGCTTAAAAATATAACTTTCAGTTAGGACTTTCATAAGAAAATTGACGTAGTCCTTATTCTAAAAAAGGGCAGCCTGGTGCAATAAGCTCCCGCTATGCGCGGGGTCCGAGGAAGGGTCGGACCACAAGGGTCTATTGTACGCTGCCTTACCTTGCATTATATATTAAAAAAAAAAAGAGAAGCGAGAGAAAAAGAAACAACCCACACTATGAATTTGCTTTCTTGGATTCTTCCCTTGCTTACTTTTTCACACTTAGAATAAGAAATTTCTGCAGTTCATTTGTTTGTCAAATATTAACACGCAGATTCTTCAGTTTGTTGAATAAGGCATTATGTATTGATTGCTTAATGATTCTGCTACTTTAGTTGCTTAAGAATATATTCTTCGTGGAGCAAGCATACACAAGAGGTCACTGTAGCAAGTAATATATTGGACTAGAGATGCTACTTATTTTGAAATGTTGGAAAACCTATATAGGCGAGGGTCATATAAGGTATATGATGTTTATGATGTTGGTCAAAATTATTAAATATCAGTTTCTGTTGCGTGTTTCCTAGGAAGATCTTTCTCATGTCCTTTGCTTTCCCCTCGTAATTTTATCTCATCATTTTATTTGCCATTACTAAACATAGTTACTCATCACTGATGAAGTCCTTGAAGAAATCCATCGTATTGATCTCAGACGTTCTCCAAATATATGCTCGCGTTCAAGGTGGTGTTCAAGCACTGCACCTCGATTATTTCACCAGGTACTTGCTAACTTACACCAATATTGGTAACCTTGCACAAAAAACTTACGCTGACGGGAAGAAATCACGAAGTGTTTTTGTCTCTGCTGAAATTTAGATCCTAGTCTTCGATGTTGTTCATTGATTCTGTTGATCATTTGGCCACACTTTTGTATGCAAGCTTGCATTCAACCGTTGTCCGACAGGAATTGTAACAAAATTAGCTGATCTTTAAAAAGGTACTTAATACTTTATGATAGAGCTCCATCCTTAGTGAGTTAAGAAACTACCAACTAAATCATATTTCAGTATCTTCAGCTGAGGATAAAGATGTTAATCGGGCCGGGCTGACCCATTTTCAACCCGGGTCAGCCCGGTTCAGCCCGTTACTGTAGCTTTATGTGCGGGCTGGGACGGGTTGGTCGGGGGGCGGGTTTTGGACGAACATATTTTGGATACCGGTGCACCGTTACAATTTTTTTTTTTTTATAATTATTTGGACCGTTGCCAACGGTCAAATTCAGAAATGACCGTTGGGGAACGGCCAGATTTTGCAGAAATGGCCATTTCGGCCTCCCCCATTAAAAATATAACCCTCCCACCCCTAATAATTGAAAAATTACTTTTAACCTTTTAAAACCTATAAATAGTCCCCCTTCTTCTTTATTTTTTCTCACAATTCACTCTCTTACTACTCTAATTCTCTCTCAGTTCTCTCTTGATATTATTGTTCTTAAATTCTCAAATCTCAAATTCTCAATTACTTATTATTTCAAGTTTCATCAATTATTTAGTTTAGCTATTATAAAATTATTATTATCAAATATCAAGTATTCAAGTGAAGTGTGCTATCAAGTACTATTGCCTATTGGTCTTATTAAATAATTTTTTGTAGCCACTTACTTTCTAATTTCAATTTTATAATTTTGAAATTCAAATTTCAAATTTAATACTTTAAAGTTTAAACTTCAAAGTTTAATTCTAAGCCTTAAAAGCTTGCAAACACTTAAGTATCAATAATATTGAATAAGAAAAAAAAATTTAATTAAAAAAAAGTACACTAGCCCGGCCCGCCCGAACCCGAACGGGCCCAAAATAACCCGAAAATTCGGGTGATTTTTAAAAATAGCCAGATTTACAACTGGTTGTTCAAAAATAGCCCAATTTCAAAAGTAATCAAAATTTAGCCACTTTTTATGTAAAGATAAATCTGAGCGAAAACACTGTTCAAAATCCGGAAAATACTCCAGTATATTATGCTGGAGTTCCAGCATAAGTATACTTGAACTCCAACATATTATACTGGAGTTCCAGGATAGTATGCTGGAACTCCAGCATAATATGATGGATTTCCATCATAAATACACTAGAACTCCAACATAATATACTGGAGTTCCAGCAAGTATAACGGTCCAGTATAATATACTGGAGTTTGGAGCACCAGTGCTCCAGTCTCCAGTATATTATACTGGAGCCAGCAAAGTATACTGGTCCAGCATAATATGCTGGAGTTCATACACAAGTGCACCGAAACTCCAGTATATTATGCTGGACCGGTCTCTATTGCAGCAAAACGGTGGCTATTTTTCATTGACTTGGTAAACGCTGGTTATTTTTGATTGACCGGTCCGAAAACTGGCTATACTGTGAAATTTTGGCCGAAAATTCCCAACCCGCTACCAGCCCGTTATCCCAGCCCGCTAACCAACCCGGTCCGATAACGGACGGGCTGTTTTTTTTTGTTCAACCCATCCCAGCCCGCCCGATAAACACCTATAGCTGAGGAGCACAGCTCCTCAAACTATTCTACCAGTGCAACTGATTCAAGATAGTTTGAATCAGATGACTGAATAGGAGCTTGATTATACATCAACATGAAACCATCATATCTTTACGACGTCATAGGAAAAAATAAGAAAAATATTGACAACTAGAAAAAAAAAAGGAAAAGTAAAGAGATCAAGCCATTTATTTTGGTTTTACATTGAGTCCTAAGAATTAGACCCAGTGGACATGTTTCTATTATCTTCCAAGAATTGAATTAGATCTCCTATTAACTTGACATGTAACCTTCTGTTCCCAAATATTGAACTGATTTCTTTTGCTTTCTCTCTAATTTTCTTTCCATCCATTTCCACCATTGCCAACTTCACTGAACTGGACACTGAGTCCCTTGTGTATGACCCATCCTCTTCAGTTCTTGGTACTTCTATACCAATTTCCTTGTCCTCTAAGATTCTTGCATTCAAACCTTGATCAACCGAAAAATGCGGCATAATCAATGGGCGCCCAAACATTAGCCCTTCTATTATCGAGCTCCATCCACAATCACAATGTGTCAAGAATCAGCCGACTCGTGACTTAGTATCTTCAACTGAGGTACCCACCTCTTCCTTACTATACCTCGACCGTATATTCTCTCCTCGAACCCATTGGGCAGCCCAATATAATCCATGTCTCTCGAGTTCAATGGCTTCCTCAGAACCCCAAAAAATGGTAATCCAGACAACTCCATCCCATTACCAACTCGCTGATTTCACTCAGACCAATAATCACTTCACTACCTAAGGCTACATAAATTAATGAGACTTTGGTTTGTTTATCTAGCAATTCTTCGTTATCATCACAGCTATTTTGCAATAAAGTTGACATTAGCCCCACAGGAAGTATAGGCCTGTGGTGAAGATCCTCCAGTAACTTAGCCACTGGCCTTCGAACTCGTGACACAGACATATAATAATTACGTCAACATCCTTTATCGTGGCCCTGGTATGATAAAGGTCTGACACACCAGACACATTCTTTTGCCCGGCCTCGACTATCCATCCACTTAGCCTCGTGGCGATGAAAAGCCATCTTTGTTTGAAATGGTATCCATTTCGGTGGCACCATAAACTCCTCCGGTGTTGGTGTTGGATTAGTCGAGCCAGTGAGCATCAGGTAATTTGTCGGTCCAATGAAAGACAGAAGCCAACTGGAAATCCCTAACCTAGTTGTAATTGGTGCCACATAAGGTGCAAAATCATGAATAAAGCAATCAGGAGAAGTTTTCTCCAAGAAACTTGTCAACTTAGGTTCTATATCAGCTAAGACTTTCTTAAGATAGACTCTTTGGTCTGGATATCCATACCGGCTTCTGCATTTTATGGTAGGCTATTAACTTTTGGAAGTGGGATTTTCACAAAGTTTATGAATATTCAAGGGAAGTTTTTGGAGGCGATCAATATCTCTTGGGGTGGAAATGAAGGAGATTTTGTGACCCTTTTGAGCAATTAATTTGGAGAGCTCAAGATATGGTATAAGGAAACATGGCTATATGAAGCTTATCTTCAACTTCAAAAGTCATTGATTTCACAAATTCAGTAGCCAAGGCATAAACAGTTTAGTATATGTATGTTTTTCTTTGCTCTGTTAATAACTTAATCACAAATACATAAAGAGCGTCGACCAGTGTTATCAAAGGCGCGCTTAAAGCACTCTTAAGCCCTAAAGCGACGCTCAAAACATGTTGAGCGCTTCGCCTAGCTTAGCGGACGCTTCAGTGTTTTCATCAAGGCTCTAAGGTATGCTTTTCCTTGCCGATGAGCGTAATTCTAAAAAGGTGACACTAAGCAATTGATATTTTACTTTATCTTAAATTTTCTTCAGTTTCTTTGTCCTTATCCCCCTTTTAACTTATACCCATTTTGTTTTTCCGTTTGCATCCGTACCCATTTTTTGTTAAAAGCGTTTTAAAAAGACGATTTTGCCCTTCTTTAATAAAAGACTACTAACAAACTGCAGGACAAAAACTTAAGCATGTTTAGGCTGAAGTTTTAGCAAATGAACTAAAAAACTTCGGCTTGTTTAGACTGAAGTTTCGGATAAAACTCAGGACAAAACTGTAGATTGCTTTACAAAACTTCAACATGTTTTGGTATGAAGTTTTAGCAAATGAACTAAATAACTTCAGCATGCATTAGGAAAAACTCTTTAGAAAATTACATACTGCAAGACAAAAACTTAAGCATGTGTAGTCTGAAGTTTTAGCAAATGAACTAAAAAACTTGTATGTTTAGTCTGAAGTTTTAGCAAATGAACTAAATAACTTCAGCATGTTTTGTCTGAAATTTTAGCAAATGAACTAAATAACTTCAGCATGCATTAGAAAAAACTT